CATCTACAATGAGACGGAGCCCGCACCAGGAGCGGGCTGGCGCTAGGAGGGGTCCGGATGTCTTAACAGGGTTTGTTTCAAGTTTTCCTTCTCTCTGTTGTTGTTCTGCGTAGTTTTTTCGTCGTCTTAGTCGGCTCTTATGACACTCACGGGATGAATAGGGGTGGTGACACTCTGTATTCTTAATCCTTCACCACACGGACGCGTCATACAACTCGCTTCAAATATATTTTTTATCTATTTTGGCAGGGTACAGGGAATATACTATAAATTTGTATAAAAGTAATAACTGGTATTTTTTTGAAATTAAACTTCTTGACGCACGCTTGACTTGGGGAGTAAGCTGGTGAATGCGTGACGAGAGCGTTACGAAAAGTGTCAACGGGTGAGGCGAACGGAAGTTGAGAGGGAGATATTAGTTAGTGAAGCTAGAAAGAGAGAGAGTTACGTTTCATATATTACTGTAGGGGCAAAAGAGAGAGGAGCGAGCACACATTTTCTTTTTCTCTTTCTGTCATAGCCAAGAAGTTTTACTTCAGTTTTGTGGTCTAAAGCACAGTCGTTTTTTTTTCTTATACACTTTTAAGGGCCGATAAAGTTTTGTGTATTACATTTCGTTTGTAATATAAACTGAACTGTTTACCGCTGCTCTGGAAGATGCCTTCAAGCTCCTGGAATGGAAAGAACTTGGCATCAACATCAATGGCGAATACATCACTCACCTTCGATTTGCCGACGACATCGTAGTCATGGCAGAATCGCTGGAAGACCTGGGACAAATGCTCGCTGACCTCGACGGAGTTTCTCAACAGATCGGCCTTAAAATGAACATGGACAAGACGAAAGTCATGTCGAATGTCCATGTCGCGCCGACTCCCATTGTCGTTGGAAAGTCTGTCCTCGAAGTTGTTGTCGAATATGTCTACCTAGGACAAACGGTCCAATTAGGTAAGTCCAACTTCGAGAAAGAGGTCAATCGTCGAATCCGACTCGGCTGGGCAGCGTTCGGGAAATTACGAAACGTCTTCACGTCCAAAATACCCCAGTGCCTAAAGACGAAATGCTTCAACCAGTGTGTGTTACCAGTGATGACCTACGGAACTGAGACGTGGTCTCTTACTATGGGCCTAATCAGAAAGCTCAGAGTCGCTCAGCGTGCTATGGAAAGGGCTATGCTTGGCGTCTCCCTGCGTGATCGAATCCGCAACGAGGAGATCCGCAGGAGAACAAAGGTGGTCGACATAGCCCAACGGATTAGTGCGCTCAAGTGGCAATGGGCAGGGCACATAGCAAGGAGAACTGACGGCCAATGAGGCAGCAAGGTTCTCCAATGGAGACCACGTACTGGAAAGCGCAGTGTGGGACGACCGCTTACCCGATGGACGGACGACCTGGTAAAGGTTGCCGGAAACCGTTGCATGCAGGCCGCAATCAACCGTCCGCGCTGGAAATCATTGGGAGAGACCTATGTCCAGCAGTGGACAAGCATAGGCTGAGGTGAGTGAGAATAAATTGTGAATGATACTGATATTAGTGGTATGGTATGATAGTGGTATGTTTTACTAGGAACCTAAGCGAGCTATAATTCGGCACTAATGGTCGACCGAAGTGTTGCCGCGATCTCAGAATAAGTTTGAGGAAAACGCAGGAAAATAGTGATTATGGTGGTAACGACATTGGGATTAGAAATAATAAATTTAATGCTATTTCTTCAAGCTTTTAAAGACTGATTGATTTGCTCTGCTGAGCCCGGCTCCTCGTAAGTGTAAAATTTCCTGGTAAGTGTTTTTTGAACGATTTTGGCGACCGAAGTCACGTATTAGCTATTATATTTAAGGCAACACGCGTATAATCTGACCGAATGTGACACGTTCACCCACTCAAGCTGAAAGATTGTGTACAAGGAACTCCACTTAACTGCATCGCGAAGTAGAGCACGTATCGTGCCGTTTTATATGTTATACTTATTAAAAAAGCCTATTCATATTTAGGCTTGAAATGCTAAATAAACTCTTAATGAATAGATATTGTTCTTTACTGTGTATGCCAATGTGAGTTTTTTTCATGTAATATGGAGCAAACGAAGAGAAACGTCACCTGATGGTTGGTGACCACCTTGGTGTCAATGGGGCGGTAGTTAAGGGTGGCAAAGTATTGTCTCTCAGGTTGTAGATGTCCATTGGCTGTAGTAGTCACTAACGCTCAGATAATCTGTCTCCTCGTTTGCCATATGCCATCACATTAACATTATAAAGGCGCAAGTTTGTGAGTGTATTTTTGGTACTTCATCACGCTCAAACGACTGGACCAATTTTGATAAAATTTGCTATGGAGGTAGCTGATACCCTGGATTAACACATACACATTTATCCCGAAAAAATTTGGTGTTCCGATTATGAATACACGTTTTAGTGTATCTGATAAACTCCAGTTAACACCACGAGGCGCAGTTAGTAAAAAATATAACTGAAATTATTTTTAACACAGTAAGTTTTTTCCTCAATTGACTTTAATGGGGTTGATTTGACGATAGCCAAGAGAGACTTTTGTATTCTTCTGTCTCTTAATCGAATAAAGCGTCTCTCATTGAATGGACAAAAGAAAATGTTCTCTTAAATTTTTATTTCTGTGTTTAAGGGTCAAATTGCTTTTCATCTCGTCTGAGCATTGAGAGTCAAGTCCAATTTATGTTTACTTCATATAACTTAGTTAAGTTAAATGAAAGTCATTTTGTACGTTATATTAAGAAAAATATATTTTTCTATAAACTTAACTGTCAGTGTGGTGACGGATTAAGAATACGGAGTGTCACCACCCCTATTCATCCCGTGGGTGTCGTAAGAGACGACTAAGGGAGCAAACTGCGCATAACAACAGCACTGCAAAGAGAAGGAACCCGTTTGGCCAGCGTAGTATAGTAGGCCAAAACCTCATTTCTAAGGAGAGGCCTATGTCCTGGACTGTTAAAGGCTGTTGATGATGATGATAAACTTTTAATACTTTCAATTAAGTTTCTGAAGAATGCAAAATTTTGGTGCTAGTCTTTGTATTTGACTGCCTCGGTGGTGCAGTGGTAGCGACTGCTGTGCTGAGGTATCGGGTTCGATTCGAGGGGAGTGCATTTATTATATTTCCAACTCCTCTAATTTTCTTTTGATAAGTTCGTTGCGGGTACCAAGACAGTTAATTTTTCCTGGGTCTTCCCGAGTGTCATAATTCGGTGTGTTCGTGAGTCACTGCCGTTGAACCTGGAAAATCCTGGCAAACAGAAGTTACAGTCCTGGGCGTGTGGGAAAAAAGTAAAAAAGATATAGGTTTGCCCCTACTACAATTTTAGTTTAAGTCTTAGTCGGCCATCTTAGTCGGCAAAACATGGGCGCTTAAAATCCCTCTGTCTACCCTTCCGGCTACAAAAGACGTGAGTATATGTGTGTATGTATGTTTTCCTGAAACTATTTTGTAAATAAAGTTTAAATAAGATTGTAAGAATAACCCGTCCGGACCTCATATGTGTGTAAGTACATAATTTTTACGGATAAAGAATACGGAATGTCACCACCCCTATTCATCCCGTGGGTATCGTAAGAGCCGACTAAGGGAGTAAACTACGCAGGACAACAGGACTGCAGAGAGAAGGAAAACTTGACACAAACCCTATACCAACCCGTCTGGCCAGCGTGGTATAGTAGGCCAAAACCTCCTTTCTAAGGAGAGGCCTGAGTCCAGCAGTAGACTATTATAGGCTGTTGATGTGATGTGACATAATTTTTAAGTATCTCGCAAAGTTTAACACACGTAAGGTAAAGATTTTAGAACTATGATCACAATAAGAGTTCATAGTACCCGTGCAGTGATAATAAATCGACACATCTTACACACGACCATCTGATCCCAAACTAGGCAGAGCCTGTGCAATATTAACCAGCCAATATTAACCATCTCTTGAGTAGAGTCGAATAAAATCCGACCAGAAAGTCTCTATTAAATTATTATATTATTTACTCGAGAAAACATTCTCGTTTAACATACATAGTTACATAGAACGTGTACGTACGTGTTAAGCAATTCTTTCGATGCTTCTCAGCGAGTGAGTTTTCGAATGAGTCCTACCCTAGTTCTGATAGGACGGGTACCCACAAGAAGGCAAGCACTCGTGGCTCCTGAGTTGCAGGTATCCATGGCTGCCGGTGGTTAATTACCGTCTGTTGACCCGTTTTTCGTTTGCCCCATATGCCATAAAAAATACTATCTACCCTTTAGTGCGTAATTAGTGTTCTACTATACAACACAAATAATTAACTTGCTAAAAAAGTCGACTTCAACACATTTACATCATGACGAATTGTAATCAATTGTATGTTTTATTCTTTAATTTTCTACCCTTACCTTAAAAGTATAAACGTAAAAAGAATTTCACAAATGGGTTCATAAATTGCGGAGTTCTGACACATGAAAGAATTCAACCTAAATAAAAACACCTCCTTTTTCTTGTGAAGTCGGTTAACATATTAAATGTTCAAAATTACTGAGCTGCGTGCAGTGCAGAATATCCATCATTGAAATGTATTGGTACTGTTATGTAAACGTGACTGGTATGAACGCATAATTGGAAAAGCCAAGTCCAGTATCGGGCTCAGCATAAACTCATTAACACATTTACAACATTTGGTACCTGATAAACCATGTTATTACAATAACAATGCGTAAGACTACGAGTAGTATTTAGCTTAAGTTGTAAAGAGGAAACAAGAGAAAATCTTGAGTATAAAGATATAATATCCATAAAAGGAAATAAAAATAAATAAAACATGTACTAATCTATAATTTTAATCACATGTCTAAACAACGAAGCAGCAATATTAAATAAAACAATAACTAAAACCTATGTATACTTATATACAAACAAATAATCCTACAAAAACGTAAGCACACAGTATCACCTCCACAGAGATCGGCAATTTATTACGTGCCGGCTGTAAGAAACCATGTGTAAATACACATCAGAAGTCTAAATTGAATCCGACTCCGAACCTAACCCGCCTTTGTCTGTCAATCAAAGTGCTTCCTATGAGGCGCAACACTCGTATCTCATTATGCACCTCGTTGAACACAACGTCTTTTTGGAAGGTGAATCCTCCACAACGCTGCGAATCCACAAATATCTTCAGCTCCGAGCCATTACTGTAATTCTTCTGTAATGCCAAACTTAACGTCACCTGCCCGCTTCTTGCACCTTCGCTTATTATCGTACCTAATCGCAAATCAGGGGAGAACTGCTTGTAAAGACACACCTGAAAACCAATCTTGCTGATAGTTGAAGATAACGTATAGGTCGGTCTTTCATATCTGGCGCTGATTGAGAAGTCTGGTGTTGGTGGGTACGCTAGCGGTCTGAAACCAATTTCAGTCCCAATACTTAAATCTGGTATTACTTTGTACACCCACTGGGTAATGAGCCTAAGTGTATTTGGATCCACATCCTTTACAAAACATGAGAAAGAACCAACAGATTGGTCATTTTCTTTCTCAAAAACAATTTCAGTTTCTGATGATACCAAATCTTTTATTCTTGATGTTAAACGCATTTCGTACGGCCCGTCTAGGACCTCTTTGTATGTAGCAGTTGCTGATCCAGAAGAATCTATAAACAAACCTTCGTTTGTCGTCTTCGGTTCCATTTCTTTATGAATTAGCTGTGAAAAACACTTATGTATCTCCTTCGATCTTCCATAGTTATATTGTTGAACAAGTTTGACCCTATCCATGATATCTCTGAGAATAACTATCTTGGCACCAATGAAGCACTTGGGGAAAGTATTTTTGGCTTCAGCATGTATGTCACTAAGTCTTGTTAAATTCGATTTCTGCGGTTCCAGAAAATGAAATTCCTTTTTCCTAGGAAGTAGTCTTTGAAGTGAGCTGACAAAGCTGCTGACTTCCTGTTTTATTTTATCTTCGTTGATGTCCATTGTAGTTTTATTGAAATTATTTTAGTTTAATTATCGGATAGCAGGTCTAATGTCATTGACCTGTGTGGTTTTATTTTAGTCGCTGTGCGTTGACGGCGTGTCCGGCCAGTCGTAGACTGCAAGGAGTTTGTATATTTTTAGTTGTCTCGACGTTTTGTTTGCTTATGTTCTTCACTTTTCACGCAGCCAATAATCTTCTCAATATTACTTATTCAGTGAGAAATTTGTCCTTAGAAGTTACCCTAGAGTAAGGTCAAATGGAATTAATATTTCATTGAAAAAAAATCAAATCAAAGCATCAGCAGTCAGTCTGTTATCGGGTAATATTTTTTATCTGTAGAATCTGACCTTCTTTGTGAAGGTTACGTTATCTGTATTCTGTAGCAATCTGTGGAACTGTCAATTCAATTCTCGCGTCAATTTCAGCTTTTGTCCAATGATTGCCAATTTAAGAAGATCCATTGGGGACAATCTTTTATACACCAATTTTTTTTGCATGAATTTAGTAATATGGAAAATAATAGTCATTAGTATTAAAATAAAGCTATGTAAATAAAATAATATTACGTACGTTATGTTTGTAGTGCGGCTGTTTGCGAATGAGTGAATCTGGCGCACGGCCTGCGCATGCGCTGTTTCCCTGGCCTTCAAACCAGTTATCAACAACAACAAACTATTTCTGTCACCGTTTCTTAGATCATCATGAAAACTTGCAGTATTAAGTGTTTCCTTAGTATAAAAATCAAGTCTTTTTGTTTTTAGTAACTATTTCTGTACATAGTTAAATATATATTTATTTAATTTAGTTATTTATCATTTTTTTTCTTTAATAGGAAACTTTTATCAAATATTTAGATTCAAACGTTTTTTCGGTTATAGTAAATTATAATTAAATGAATTAAGATTAAATTACGCCCATCGATCATTATTGTATACTAGCTGTACCCTGCCTAGTGATGAAAGGACTCAAGCCTTATTAACCTTTATAATTAAGACTAGTCTTGATTGTGAAGACTCGACTCCAAAATTACGACTTGAGGCTTGTTACTAATGTGAAAGAACTCGAGTCATTAAAAAAGACTCGAGTCAATAAAACGACTTCAAGCCTTAGTCACGAGTCTTTTAAGTAAACAACTCGAGTCGTTTAAAATGAGACCATAATTAGTTAAACTTTAGTTTATGATAATTACATGTTTATTACAGATCAGGAGGTACTAAATGCTAGTAATTTAATATAAGACTACCAGTGGACATATGCCACTCTTCAAGTGTAATAGTTACACTACGAAATGCTCTTTAATTCGTACGGCTAAATGGCATCATTCAATAGGGATCTACATATTATAACTTAAAGTTATATGAAAATTTTATTAATGAATAAGAGAACTCTTGATTTGACCTCAAATTTTTGACTTTAAATACACAAATATTTCATATGAATTATAAACATGATATTTTAAAATTAAAGTTTTTTTTTTCCCAAACTAGGTTATACTGAGCTTTAGGTATACTACTATACGACTGAATTTAGATTTTTCACGCGGAGCAACTCGGCGATATCGAAACATTCTGTAAAAAGACTATTGTCGGACTTCTTAATAAAAAAAAAAAAAAAAAGAAATGGGCTCCAACTACCCGTAACGATTGCCACAGATGTACGTATGGCAAACGGATCTCCGAGGCACGGAGGAATCTCAATGTGTCAAGAATGGTCACCTATCCAAATTAACAAACAGACTTAACATTTTTATAAATAGACATAGCATTGCTTCAGTTCTAAAGTTCGCTCGTATTTCAAAATCGATACATTTCTTAGGAGGGGACAAAACTGTTTCGTTTTATATCGAATAACTATTTAAAGTTTATTCAATACATAAATTTAAAACAGACTAAAATAGCCTAGTCTTTTTTTTTTACACATTTTAAATGTATACTTTATTTATTCCAAATTTCACATTACTCTGTTCGCAAATGTGCTAAAAATCTTATTCACGTATTTTGTATGATTTCAACAAATTTAAATATTTTAAATAAACCCACAGTACACTTCGCGCCCAAAAATGACTTTCGCGGTCCTTAACTAAAGCGACGATATATATTTGTCACAAAACGTTTGTTTTCTCTTCAAAATCAAATTGATTTCTCTGTTTTTCATCATTGTCCAGGTCTCAAAGGATAGAATGCTTTTAACAAATTGCTCTGAGCGTTGAACAGAGGAAAAGTTGGCAAAACGTTGCTGTGGTTCTCTAAATGACTTTTATGGAACGGTTCTGTTAGGACCATTGTGTGAAGTGATTGTATGAAAATATTTGGTCTAGTGGTTAGTGACCCTGACTGCTAAGCCGGAGGTCGTGGGTTCGATTCCCACTCAGGACAAATATTGCTTGATGAGCACGATCATTTGTTCTGTGTCTGGGTTTAATTTATCTATAATATGTATGTATTTACCAATATGTAAGTATGTTTATCAGAAGTCTGGTTACCATATTACAGGCTCTGCCTTATTTAGGATCAGACGGCCGAGTGTGAGATGTGTGAGTATTTTTCAAAATGTCCACTGATTTACAGCTATCCATTATTTTTTATCTGTATTTTTTGGAGCATGCAATAGAGGTTTTTTTACCCGTGGAAACCCCTTCGGGCCGTCGTTTGCGGCGAGTTGGTGTGTCAGAATCGGACCGACTAAACCCACACGGTGTGCCACTTTGCGCCTGTAATAGGAGGGATCCGGGAACTGCTTTTATCAAAACATCCGGACCCATGTCAGCCTCTTCATACCTCATCATTTAGATGTACGTCAGTCTAACAATGACAATTTAACATATACTGCAAATGAATAGGTAAATATAATTATTTAAATACAGAAGACATAATAACAAAATTTAAAAAAAAAAATGAATCGAATTAATTTGGTTTTTTTTTTAATATTTGGACATTATATTAAATAACTAACTTAGCATAAGAAATTACTAACACTAATGGATTGTACTATCTGATTGAAATAAATGAATATGAATATATGAAATATCAATTCTCGACCCTCAATGATGTGACTGCAGGATGACGTAGTGGTTTAAGAGGTCACATCGCCGCTTCCTACTGCGCTGAATGTTGTGAGTTCGATCCCCACATAGGACATCACTTTGTGTAACACACAATTGTTGGTCTGAGTCTGGGTGTTCTTTGTGTTCGTTTCACATATGTTTGTAAAGTCCCCCGCGACACATGATGTAATCCTAATGCGGGAGTTGTCTTTTTTTAAATAGACAAAAATAGATAATAGTGATACAATTGTCCGTGTAGTGACAGATTAAGAATACGGAATGTCACTACCCCAATTCATCCCGTGGGTGTCGTAAGAGGCGACTAAGGGCGCAAAACAACGCAGGACACCAGCACTGGAAAGAGAAGGAAAACTTGATACAATCCCTATACCAACCCGTCTGGCCAGCGTGGTATAGTAGGCCAAAACCTCCTTTCTAAGGCCTATGTCCAGCAGTGGACTATTAAAGGCTGTTGATGATACAATGGTCTCACATAAAAATGGTATTAAGCACTTCTTTCTTTACTTTCCAACGAATAAGTGTGGTAAGCAGAGGCCCAACTCTGAAATTCAGGAAAGGCGGTACCGCCGAGTGCGTTGAAAAGAAAGAAAAGACAAGAAAACATATTTATTCCTGAAGAAGTGAAATAAACTCGCACTTGGCCCTCTGATGTGCCGTGTCACGCACACACAAATACATATAAGTGCGTGTGCAAGTGCGCTCAAACGGTGGGAACGCACTTGTGTCTTTTGATTGATTTGTCCTCTATATCATCATATCAACAACCTTTAGTAATCCACTGCTAGATAAAGTCATCTCCTTATAAAGGAGGCTTTAGCCTACTATAACACGCTGGCCATACGGGTTGATATGAATTTGTTTCAAGTTTCCTTCACTTGCAGTGCTGTTGTCCTGCGTAGTTTGCTCCCTTAGTCGGTTCTTATGATACCCACTGGATGAAAAGGGATGGTGACACTCCGTATTCTTCATCCGTCAGCACACGGCCACCCTTTTTTTTTTTTCCCGTGCGGAAATCCCCTCGGATACCACCTATCGGTGGCATGTCGGACTCGAACCGACTAAAACCGCACGCCGTCTCGGGTAATAATAGCCGGAGAACCAGGTATACCCTAGAAAGGAAGTCCCTGGTGCCCCGACATACATCGGGCCATCTACAGACGAGTAGACGACCCCCCCCGTGTGGGAACCCCATTTTCCCTCTGCTCCCCGGAAGCGAGCGCGCTTCGCAACGCGCTCGCCGCCACCCCGGCCTGCTTCTGCTAGGGTGATAGATGGCCTCACCTGTCACCCCCAGGCCTGCGCTTATGGAGGGCGGAGGTCATTCTGCGACCTCCGGCGCCTGAGTCGCCTGCGGTACCTGGCCCGTTCCCGGGCCTGGCGGGCCGGGAGAGTTCTAAACCTCTCCCGGTCCATAACGGGTCTTACCGCCGCGATGACGGCGTGCCCGGCGCTCGGTTGCCCGAGTCTTTCCCTCCAAGCACACGGCCACCCTATACATTAAAAAAGTGAAATAATGTTGTATATTTTTATTACTTCCAACAATGTTTACAAGTGAGCTCATAGCAACATTCTCTTTTATATTTCAAATCTGCCCAGTTACATTGCAATATATATTATTGCTTTTATTCATGCTTATTAAGCAAAAAATAATAATATGCTTCTGAAACTACTCCCAAATGGAAATTATTTGATAATAAAACAAACCGGTTAGTTATTAAGAAACCAGTTAACATAAACATAAGGTGTGAGCTTTGTATCCCGGTGCGATGATCGGGTCGAACAATATTTAGGTTTTGTGGTTTTGTGTATTGTTTTATTTTTAAAAAATAATTTTAGATTTTATGCGTAATTTTTTTATGTTGAAATATTATCTTTGATATTACTAATATTTGAAAAAGAGATACTACCAATATACTCTTTTCTAAGGTTTCTTCT